TTCCAATAGTTAAGTGAACTTTTTTAAAATATAGGGACCGGATTAAGAATTAAAGGTAAACTATTAAGACAAAATATTGAATTTCTTTTAACTAAAATTGAGGTAAATAAAAATATAAGAAGAGTGTTTCTGTTTCTATATCAAGTAAATTAATTACTTTTTTTTACTATAAATCCATATTTTTTTTCCTGAGACAATACAACAAGGCAGAATAAGTAAACAACCCATTGCACCGTTTCTTTAATGTGTATCATGCATATCCACATATGTATATTTGCATCTATAATAAACGGTTATTATGTTGCGTTATAAATTTCACAACATCAGAATAAATATGAAAAAACTCCATCCTATGTCCGAATGATCTAAGATTTAAATCTCCCTATTTATTTAATTTCATGTGACTTTAATGCTTAATCAAGACAGTACACTTTATAGCCGGGGTTCTATGCACATAATAAGTTAAAAATTATTAGAATGTAAATACAAGTACAAACTAGAAGACTATACTCTCATCTTATCCATATTATAATAAATTTAATCATATAATAAACATTTTTGAGGTGTATGAAAATGCTACAAACAAGTTCTAATAAGGATATGACATGAGAGGGAGCACATTATGACTGTGGGCAATGCTATGTGTTTAATTATATATCGATTTTCATATTCTTAGAATAGATTCTGTTGTTGGGCGAAAATAATTATAAATGGAATTCAAACAAGAACCTAGTTTTAATGGTTGTTTAGAAAATCCGAGAATCAATTAAAAAAATTCTTTATGCCTTACAAAATAAAATTTTTCTTACATACTCATCTTATATAATACTCCTCTGGTCTTAAATATAAGACCTTTTAGGACAAGGGAATATAAATTACTTTAAAAAATTCTCTTTTTTTTTTTTGTACATAAGTATTCTGCTGTTAGAGATAGTGCTATTCAAGACACTATCATATATTAAATATGAGTTTTTCCTTCATCAAAAATCTAAATTTTAATCCGTCACTATGAAAAAGTAATATTTTTTGTTGGACTCAATCGCTGTAAGTAGTTGTTCTCTAATTTTAAGAAAAGAAGTTGAAAACATTCAAATATTATAGACTACATTACTATTGTGGCCCCCACCTCAGCAATGGCCTAATTGACTTGGGCTGTGTATTACAAAAATGAAAAAAAAAAACTCTAAACAAGCAAATTTTTTATGATACACAGACATAAAACATATTTTTTTCCAATTATAATACAAAATTAAGACCAATAAAAATTGGGTTTAGTAGAAGGAACCAATCCTTCATAATGTGATGAATTAAAATTCAAATTTATACTATGAAAAGTGTCCACATTTAGTATCGTATAATACTTCTAATAGGGTTACCTCTAATAAGATTATCAACAAAAAATAATACAAAATTAAGTGCGGCTCTCCAAACTGTAATTTTTGCCAAAAGCAAAAGGGCGGCGCGGTACAAATAACATTAATCAACACGGCAATGCACAACTGGGGACCACTTGACTTGCTGCCTACAATGGCACGCGCAATATAGGAAGTAGGAAGGTACGAGTTTCAAAAAAAGTAAAATCCATTTTCAATAAAATGCTTTTCCATGCTTATATATTTTTGTCATTTTCTTTTTTATTTCCTCGGTTCTTTTTATGCTTAAATATTCTATATTGTTTTTAATTTACCCATGGAAAACCCAGCCTTTTCTCTGTGTTCTCTCCTCCCTGGTCTTTCAAAAGGAGGGGAAAAACGTATAGATACTCCCAAAATATAAATATCAGCAAAATGATTTCCCTTTATTGAATAAGAAACATGCATGTGAACGAAATGCCTTCTGAATATTACTTTTTTTTTAAAAAAAATGACATCATTTTTTGCGTAATTTATTGTTTATGGTAAATTATTCTGCTCCTTCTCTCTAACCCTAACTATAAAGAGCTCATGAATTGATTTATGTGGTTTTAAATGTAAGATTTTAATGATTTATCAATAATTTAATTTTCTTTCATCTCTATAAATTACTTATTTAGCTTATATGAAATTTAACATTAAAGAAAGTAATTTTTACGAAGTGTGGGACGAACTCTAATAGAGAAACTTTTTCTAATAAAGCTGCCCAAGATTTACAATAAAGCAAGCCTTGCAAGCTTCCCAGAGACAGGAATAAGGGACTGAAACGATTAAGGGATAAATATGTGAAAAAGGCATTTGTTGATCTCTGAATCTGAAGAACTCAGTTGAGAAGAAAAAGTCTGCAAATTCTGAAGCTCCCATTTCTTAGACCTTTTTGTTGTGAGAGATATTTCTTTCACTTCCTTCCACATGAGAATGTTGAAAACACTTTAAAATAATTAAGGATGTCACACATGAGGGGAGTATATAATAAAAGTGTTTCGGTGCTGTATGTTTATTATTAATTTTTTATTTATAGACGAAATAATTCAAACAAAAGCCAAGTTTCGTAGGAGTTAAGGTATTCTCTCTGGTTCCCACTTTTTGTGTTTAATCGCTTTTGCATACGGTATGAAAATCCAACTTGGTTTGGCTGATCAAACTAATAAACAACTGAACCAATCAATTGGGTTGAATTATATATATTCCTGTTATTGAGTTTAAAACAACTGAAACGATCAATTGTCTTCGTTTTTGCCCTCTTATGTATTTGGAGTATTAAAAAGAAAAAAGACAAAGCCAAACAAGCATGTGCCCAAATTATGATACGCAAGTAAGTGGACCCTCAGGGGAGAGTGTGACTTTTTCCTAAAGCAAAGGGGTGACAGAGATCCTAACTGAGATCAAATTCATGATTTTTTTACATATACAAAAATTTTAATACCACTAAGTTATAAGGGAATTAAAAACTTTATGTATGAAAAAGGATATGAAAGATGGAAAAATTCATACTCTTCATAAGTTAAGACTGATATCCTATTCTTTTTTGAAGAAAAACAATTCATGTCATTTTCGTTTTTATTTCCTCAATTCTTTTTACGTTTCCGGTTTAAAAAATCATCTTATGCTTAAATATATTTTTTATTTTTTTATTCATCCATAGAAAACTCATCCTTTTCATTTTTAAGTATGCTATCTTCTCCTTGGTCTTTTTCAATGCATTTTCCAATATATAGAGGGTAATGGAATTAACAGAAAAAACTTGAAAAACGAAAAAGAAAAAATTTCAAACAAATATTTTTTCAACTTTTTTTTTTAAGAAAATCATAGATACCTAATAAAAACCCAAAAAAAAATATAAATGTCAGCAAAATAGTCTTTATTTTTATCTTTGGTGAAAGACAAGACACACACACACACATATTTATATATGAATCGCCTTCTTAATATTACTCTTTTTTTTTTTTTTTTGGAAATCTCGTCGTTGTCATTCCTCATAATCCATGGCCCATGAGAGCCATAGCCCCATGTGCATGTCTCCCCCTTTTTACTTTTAAAGAAAATCATTTTACAGATAGCTAGCTGCATTCTTTTTAATTTGTTATCTATACAGTTTTTATTCTTTATTAAAGCTTTCAACTTTGCCCTAACAAAGTAAAGCAATAAGGGCCAGTGATGAACAAAGCAAAGTTAATGAATTTAATAAAGGAAGAAAAATGTATAAATAACAAATTAGAAATTGAGAAAAATATGGATATATGTAAAATCATTTTCCTTGTTTTGGGACTGATCCTGTCTTGCGGTATCTTGTTAGGCGCCAAAATATGTCAGCCATGCATGGACATGAAATAGTTAAACGAAATGATGGTGAGACATAACTTGATCACACCAACAGTGTAACAAAAGCTCTAGCAGCTAGCCATTGAAAAGGGTAGATTAGAGATGAATAATTAAGGTCTTATAGTCGTTATATGTAATCAGAATTGCTTTTTTTAAAAAAAAAAAGGTAAAATTTTATTTATAAGATGCCTATTTACCGATAATTATTATGTGGCAGGTGGCGGAGATTTTATTTTTAAATGAAAGGATGGTAAAGTAATCTAATAAAAAATTAAATTCAAAATAATTCTTAAAAATTTCATAAAAATTAGGCTATTTCGTAAGATTATTTTAGAATTTGCTTAGGTCCTTATGCGCCTTTCTGCCTTGTATTTTTCCCCAGAACCATTCAATAAATATCAAGGAATGCCCACTTCGTTATACGAATTTTTTTTAAAAAGATGTGAAAATTATATATCACGTTCCCTGTGAATTGAGACTTCCCCCTAAGAAAATAGAGGCTTACATTGGCTTTTAATTTTCATTGTTTTTATAGTTGCCGGAGGGGGTAATTATTCAGTTGGAAACATAAATTTATAGTTGCCTCCTTAGCGATTAATTCATAGAAAACTTTTTTTTAAAAAAAAGAAAAATAAAAAGACAAAGAATGAAGATATTGGTCAAAATCAAAATCACTTTTAAAAAAATTGGTTATTGACGCCCCAACCCTATTATTGGAGGCTATCGTATTGTGCGTATAAAGAACGCCAATAAAGTTGTTTGATTAAAAAAAAATCAATAAATAAGTTAAGTTATTAGGTGGACTTGACCAGCGATCATTCTCAACTTACGTCCCATCTCATCACATTGTTTTTGTTTGATCTCTTTATATTACGTTAATCAAGAACCAAACCATATCATTTCTCAGCAAGGCTGAAAAACTAGGAGTTAATTAGTTTCTGGTTGCTGCAAAGCTACTGAAGGTTAAAGCGAGAAACTACAATCACTTGGATGCAACCATTGCTCTAATGTTCATAGAAGCTCTATTGATTTTGCTGGCTATAATAATTTCTAAAGCTGTCAGATTAATCTCTCCACTTCATGATAGGTAACATCTTCTTTGGATGGTCCCCCAGCCTCCCCTTTATATTCTTGTTTGTTTTGCTGATAATAACCCACGATTTATCCATGGTTCCTTCCATTGTAGTTGTCATCAAGATGTTGTTGCTTCGATTCCTATGGTTTCTTCTCCTTCTCATATCATTGTTGCTCCTCCTGTAACCAAGTATGACATCTTTAATTAGCTTTAGAGGGGAAGACACTCGTGACAGTTTCTCTAGTTATCTCTATGAAGCACTATGTGATGCAAACATTCAAACTGTTATGGATCACAAGCTCCATAAAGGAGAGCATTTCTCACCAATTCTTCTGAAAACAATAGAGGAATCAGAGATATCTTTGATTATTTTCTCCAAACATTATGCTTCTTCAACATGGTGTATGGATGAGCTCGTTCATATTATGAAATGCAGGGATAAATACCAAAGGTTTGTTATCCCTATTTTCTATGATGTAGATGCATCAAATGTTCGCAAACAAAATGCAAGATTTGGAGATGGATTTGTGGAGTTGAAGCAGAGATTTAAACACAACCAAGAAAAAGTGCAAGAGTGGACAAATGCTTTGATCCAATCAGCAAATCTGTCTGGGTGGGATTCAAAGAATTTCAGGTATAGCTTTTGTTCATGTCATTCTTCTCTTATATTTTCTTTCTTTGGGCATTAAACATATCTTTTTTTTTTAATTTACATTTGTGCTAGGCCTGAATCCAAACTTGTTAAAAAAAATTGTTGAAGACATTTTGAGCAAATTGAATCGCAAGTCATTCTTTCATTTGGAAGGACTAGTTGGAATTGATCATCAGATTCAAAAAATTGAAAAGCTACTAAGTGAAGCTCACGTTATGGGAATATGGGGTATGGGTGGTATAGGCAAGACCACTCTTGCTAGAGCCACATTCGAGAGGTTGAAAGCACAATTTGAAGCTTTCTCATTTGTTGGAAATATAAGAGCACAAATGGCAAGGATTGGATTGGATGAATTACAAGAAAAATGCCTTAAAGAATTATTAAAAGATGAGGATATTAACACATCCAATTTAAGATCCACTTTTGTTAAAAGTAGGCTTCAGCGTAAAAAAAATTCTTCTAGTACTTGATGATGTAGGCAATTCTATAGCCATTGAAGGTTTAATCAAAGCATGTGATTGGTTTGGAGAAGGAAGTAGAATTATTATCACATCAAGAGACATGCAAGTACTTAAGAATACTTCTGCATCTACAACGTATCATGTTGTGGAACTGGATCACCACCATGCCCTTCATCTCTTTACTTTGAAAGCTTTTAAGCAAAATGAGCCATCAAAAAGCTATTTGGAGTTATCAAAGTGGGTAGCGGATTATTGTGAAGGAAATCCATTAGCACTAGTAGTGTTGGGTTGCTTTCTTCAGGGTAGAGGAAAAGAAGAGTGGGAAAGTGCTTTGGAAAAACTGAATCAGAGTCTTCACAAGGACATTTTTAGTGTGTTGAAATTAAGTTTTGATGGACTTGATGACGCACAGAAGAACGTATTTCTTGACCTAACATTTTTCTTGAACGAAGCATGGAAGATTTCTTTGGATTGTACAAAACGCTTATATAATTCTTCTGCACGAATTGAGATAAGTGTACTTAGAGAGAGATCTCTCATTTCAGTGCATGAAAATGGTGATATTGAGATGCATGCTCTTCTAATGGACATGGGACTTGAAATTTGTAGGCAACAACTCATATCTAACCCTGAAAAACCCACTCGACTATGGAGGCATGAGGATATTTATAATTTTTTCAATAATGACAAGGTATTAATTTATTTATTGTATTCTTTATTTTCTTAATATTTTATCCTTGTCCCTGCGGGCCAGCTTGTGTATAAGTTTTGACCAATTTATTATTTATTTATTGTAAGATTGAGTGAATTTTTTGAATAAACTGCACGAAAGCGTATGCATTTAGATTTTTCTAAAAGAAATATATCTAATTGTTCTATTACTTGTTATTTGATCACTTTTTATATATTAATAATTTTGCTCCATATAATTTTATCGCTAGGGGGCTGAGGCAATTCAGTGCTTATCATTAGACATGAGCAAGATAAAAAGGACCACATTGACAAGTAGTAATTTTCAGAAGATGTATAATTTAAAGTTCCTTAAATTGTACAAGTCAGATAGGAAAAAGCCTTCGAAAGTGAATATTTATGGAGATCTGGATTGTCTTCCTGAAGAACTAAAGTTCCTTTGTTGGGTTGATTGTCCTCTTCAATCTGTGCCATGGAGCTTTTGGGCAGAGAATCTTGTTCATCTTATAATGCCATACAGTCATCTCCAACAACTTTGGAATGGAAATCAAGCAAGTGCTTTAGTTTTCTTTTTTTCTGTCGTCTCAAGATTAAATTGTTTGCCTGTCTAATTTATTTAACAATGCTCCTTTCGTTCAGAAATTTCCAAATTTAAAGGAGATTGTTCTAAGCCAGTCCAAACATCTCATCGCACTTCCCGATCTATCTGACGTCCCACTCCTTGAAAGCTTAAGCGTAGATGGCTGCAACAATTTGAATCGAATCGATTCTTCAACTATCCTGGGCAAGCTTACCAAATTTACTCTTGAGTCTTGCGAAAGGTCACGACACATAAACTTTGGTGGCTCTATTATGAATGGGACAAGAAATTCTGGGTTAGTGACGGTCAACAATTTTCTTGATCTTAACGACTTCTCACTCACTAAAGCCACAACGAAGCTCTTTGTATCTGATGATGGCAAGATCATCACTGGTTTTGAATTCAAACTCATGTTTATGCCATTCTCAGAGAATTTAGCGTCCAAGTGCCGCATTAATATTGAGATTGTGAACTCAATATTGAGGACACAAAGTTTGGCGCTCTTACTTCCCTTTGTTAGGACTGTTCATTGGTCGGAGAGTCCAATTGAGTTTGGAAATTTCAAGCAACATTTTGACTATGATCTTCACTATGATTCCTTCTTCTATAGTGAGAGGAGCCAAATAAAAATAAAAGGAGTGGCGGAAGTGAAAAAGAAAGCACCAAGCGGGCCATTAATAGTAAGAGATGTCGTGGTTGATGAATATATTGAAGAAGAAGAAGATGAGGATGATAAGAATGATAGATTAACAAGAGTTCCAAACGACATGGCTCGCTGGTCATTGTTGACAGAAGTGTCGCTAATGAAGAGTGATATTACTGAAAGTGCAGGTTCGAGCATTCCTGAAGTTTGGATTCTGAGGGCACTTGCAGGACATGAAAGTTGCGAAGGGTCTCAAACTCTGAAGGATATAAGACTGTGTTTGGAAGTTCCAACCATAGATTGGTGTGGCCGCGACTTTTGCGTCTCATATTGTCATCCTCCTGGATGGCTCAGAGCCGTGGCCAGCGATTTATGGCCAATAACAGCGCTCTTCGTTTTTGGGACTGATATTGTCTTTTGATTATTGTCTTCACTGCATATCAAAAAATGTAATAAGCCTGTGGAGGTCGAATCAAAATGGTCATTTGAGCCACACAACTTTCTCTCCTCGTACCACCTTCATCACCTGGGTTGATGAATCAGAGCATATGGAGGCTATATATTATTCAAATCATAACTTTCTTTTTATCAAATTAATCATCAATATTTTCATGAACATTATACCTTCAATACCACGTTGCACAATATAAACAGCAAATTAAATCAGTCTAAAATACATTACAAGTTAAACAAAAGAGGATGTTCTGATTAGTCTAATATTTCAACAACATCAGAAGCAAAAATATAAACATCTGACTAGTCTAATATTCCAACAACATCAGAAGCAAAAATATAAACATAATATATAAAGAATGCTTGTTCCGCCAAAACCAAGACAATTATTGGCTGCTTGATCATTTTACGTATTGGGATCCCTCATATGAGCAGCAACTTGGTGGCTTATATATCCAATGATGGGATATGTTAAGAGTAAAACAGTCTGCCTATCACACAACAGAATCCTCAGTGATTAAAAGCTTGTAATTTGCCTTTAAGTCACTCTGTATATTTAATTTCTTGTGATTTTAATGCTTCAACAAGACGATACCCTTTACAGCTGGGGTTCTATGCACATAATAAGTTAAGTTAAATTATTAGAATGTACATATAAGTACAAACTAGAAGACTATGCTCCCATCCTATCCATATTATGATAAATTTAATTATATAATAAACCTTTTGAAGATGTATGAAAACGTTAAAAGCAAGCTATAATAAGGAAATGACATGCAAGGAGGTACATTACGACGGTGGGCAATGCTATGTGTTTAATTATATATCAATTTTTACATTGTTAGAATAAATTCTATCGGTAGGACAAAAATAATTATAAATGAAATTCAAACAAGAACCTAGCCTTAAGAGGTATTCAGAAAATCCAAGAATCAATTAAAAAATTCTTTTACGTTTTAGTAAATAATTTTTTTCACATAATTATCTTATACTGCATAAAATTACATGAACAAATTAATCCAAACATACTTTTAAGTTGTTCTCTAATTTTAAGGAAGCAATTAAAAACATTCAAATATTATAGATTATATTATTATTATGGGCCACGACCTTAGTAATGGCCTAAAATCGACTTGGGTTGGGTATTACGAGAAAACAAAACAAAGAAAGAAAAATCTAAATAAGCAATTTTTTTTTAATGATGCATGGATATTTATGGCGTAGTTTTACCCCAATCGTGATACAGAGATAAGTGGGGCGTCAAGTGAGATTTTGCCAAAAGCAAAAGGTCGGTACATGAAGCAACATGGCGAGGGACGACTTGACTATACACAGCAAGGGACGACTTGACTGGTTGACTTGTTGACTTCAATGGCGCGCGCCATGTGGGAAATATGAAGGAGGGTACGGAGTTCCCAAAAGTAAAATCCATTTTCATCAGAAAAACTTATTTCCTCAATTCTTTTATGCTTAAATATTCTTTATTTTTCTATTTACTTATGAAATTCCCATCTTTTTTTTTTTTTGAGTAGATGACAAGTTTAGTAAAACAAATAACAAAATTTTTATGGTTCTGTCACTGTATTTTTGTCATCACATTTTTGATTAAATGGATAACATTAAATAGCCATATATTATTATAGAGTTGAGAAACATTTCAGACATTTTATCAAAATTTTATATTTACACTATGGGCTCAGGTTTTTATTTACCATTTTTCAAATTGAAGGTTTCAAACCACAATTTCACATATTGGATCTTTATTTTCTATTTTCCCAAGAAAAAATCTAAACAAGCATTTTTTTTTTTTTGAGATACATGGATATTTTTAGAGCGTAATTTTACGCAAATCGTGATACAGAAATAAGTGGGGCATCAATTGTAATTTTTGTGAAAAGCAAAAGGGTGGCGCATAAAACAACACGGCAATGCACAGCAAGGGACGACTTGACTGGTTGACTTCGATGGCACGCGTGATGTGGGAAATATGAAGGAGGGTATGAACTATGAAGTTTCCAAAAGTAAAGTCCATTTTCATCAAAAAGCTTTTCCATGCATGCTTATAGATTCGTGGCATGGGCCTTTTTATTTCCTCAATTCTTTTTATGCTTAAATATTCTTCATTTTTATATTTACCTATGGAAGGCCTATCTTTTTTCTATGCTTGAATTGGATTGGATTATACTGCTTTTTAATATAAGAGCTAATTTAATTCTTAATTTGATTCTAAATATAATATCTTAATTCATTTTGTTTCTCTTATTTTTTTTAAGATGGTTATTGTAATAGCTACAAATGTTAAATATTTCATTAAATAAATATTCTCGCTAAGTCAAACTATTAGTAAGGATATTTTAAAAAAGACAATACCTGTTTATTATAAATAATTAAATAAATTAATTTTTTTAATCTATTTAAATTAACCAATTAGTTTTTATATCAAAGACGAGGGTTAATATATAATTATTCTATTATTGAGCTTAAAATTCTTCTATTATGATATACAGTCCTCCAGGGCGTGACTTTTTCCAAGAGCAAGGCGGTGGGGAGGGACAACAAATGCACGCTATACGATGAGCCAACCCAGCAATTCACAAAACTCAAACGTGGGACAACTTGGCTTGGCTTGTTGACCCCAGAAGCAAGAATGATAAAGGAGGTAAGCGGTATGAAAACGTGATGCCTTAAAATAGCCAATCTATTCCTTAAATCCAAAAAAACATACATTAATAACATGAGATTTTAGCTGCCATTAAATTCATAATCTTTTACATATACAAAAAATTTTAATACCACTAAGTTATAAAGTCATTAAAAACGTTATGTGTGAAAAACGATATGGAAGATGGAAAATTTCCATTCTCTTTATAAGTTAAGACCCATATCCTTTTTTTTTTTTAAAAAAAAAAGAAAGTTCATGTCATTTTCGTTTTCATTTCCTCAATTCTTTTTACGTTTCCGATTAAAAAATCGTCTTATGCTTAAATTTTTTTAATTTTTTTATTCGCCTATACAAAACCCCTTGGTGTTTCAATGCATTTTCCAATGGAATTTTAACAGAGGAAACTTGAAAAATGAAATGAAAATTCTTTTCAAACAGATACATTTTTCCAATTTTTTAAAAAGAAAAACATAGATGCCTGATAAAAACATAAAAGTTATAAATGTCAGCAAAATGGGTTTTTATTTTTAATCTTTGGTGAAAGACAAAACATATATATATATATGTGTGTGTGTGTGAATTGGCTTCTCAATATTACCTTTTTTCCAGAAAAAAATCTCATCATTGTCAGTCCTCATAATCTTTTTTTTTTTTTTTAATAAAATCATTCCTCACAATCAATGGCCTAGCAATTAGAGCCATAACCGCATATGCATGTCTGCCCCTTTTTATTTTTAAAGAAAATCATTTTACAGATGGCTATACTATTTTCAATTTGTTATCTATACAGTTTTTTTCCTCTTTATTTTTAAAAATTGAGAAAAATATGGACACATGTAAAATGATTTTCCTTGTTTTTGGGACTGATGTTAAATTTATCAAGGAAGCAAAAAAAAAAAAAAAGAAAGAAAGAAAGAAAGAAAAGAAAGTTGAAGGAAATATGTAGGAAGAAACTTTTTTGTAAAGCTGTTCAAGTCGTATGGCAACACCAGTTACGCTTGAGCTTCCCGAAACTGGAAAAATAGCCTCTGGAACACAGAAAAGTACATGTGAATGAGGCATTTGGTAATCTCTGAATCCGAACTGAAGAGCTTGTTTCAAGAGAAAGCAAGTTTGCAAGTTGTGAAGCTGCCATTTTGTGAGGTTCATTTCTTCTCTTTTACTCGCTTTCTCCCATGGATCCATTGCTCCTTCTACTGTTTTCCCTGCACTTTCCCCTGAAATTTTCGCAGAACAATTCTGCAAAAGATTTTCTGTTTTCTTCTCCTAGTGCTGGCTGTTGATCGATTCTCCTCCATAGCTACCTTACAGTCGTAGATCTAATAAAACTTCAACATTTAGAATCTTTTATACTTAAATGGGGGGACTTGATCTATAGATTAAAGTCTACATCTACTTTATTTAAATTTTTTTTAATGAAGTAAAAGCCCCATTTATTTATTTTATAAAAAGGCAAAGTGCTTGTTCTTCCTTTCATCCTAATCACTCCCCTTTTCGTCGTTACACGTGAAAAAGACTTTGATAAAAAAAAAAAAGAACTTGATATAAATGAACAGGCGTATTCTGTTTTCTCATGATCCACTTGCTTGGTACGGTTTTGTTTTTCCCAAAAAACAAACTTATATTAATATATATCAATTTATTCAGTCCAACCGGGAAAAAAAAAAGGTGAGAGTAATTTAGTATTCGAACTAATAAAATTTCGTGGACTTTAATATAAGTTTCCCAAGAAATTAACACACGGCCTGATTCGCCTTCAACACGTGTACTTTTACTCACTGTATACAGCTTCTTTTAGAATAATTGTTGATAAGTAACATCAGATAAATCAGTAAAGTTCTTGGCCACATGATGAATTCTTTCTTTTGCATTATTGCATCCATAAAGACATGTTCTTCATTTTCGCATCAATCGTTCGGTAACTTGTTCCCACTTCCTAAATGGTCTTGTGTGATGTTTTTATCACGTTAATCAAGAGCCAAACCACGCCACCTCTTGAGAAGTTAAAGCCAAAAAATATTACTTTATCATGTTAGTTTCGGGTTGGTGAAAAGTTTCAGGTTAAAGCAAGAGATTACAGTCACATGGATGCAACTTTTGCTTTAACGCTTATAGAAGCTATCTTGATTTTGCTGGCTATAGCAATTTCTGCTGCTGTCAGATTAATCTCTCCACTTCATGATAGGTAACATGTTCTTTAAATGTTCACTTTAGATGGTTTGCTGATAGACCAATATTTATCATTCGTGAAGATTTCTTTCCATCTGTAGTTGTAAAGATGTTGGTGATTCAATTCCCACCGTTTCTTCTCGTTCTCGTATCATTGTTGCTCCTCCTGCAATCAAGTATGAGGTGTTTCTTAGCTTTAGAGGGGAAGACACTCGTCACACTTTCTCAAGTTATCTCTATGAAGCACTTCGCCAAGCAGGCATTCATACTTTCATGGATGAGAAGATCGAAAAAGGAGATTATATCTCACTGATCCTTCTGAAAACAATAGAGAAATCGGAGATATCTTTGATCGTTTTCTCTAAAGATTATGCTTCTTCAACATGGTGTATGGATGAGCTCGTTCACATTACGAAATGTAAGGATAAGTACGGAAGGCTTGTCGTCCCAATTTTCTACAACGTAGATCCATCAAATATTCGAAAAAGAATGGGAGATTTGGAGATAGATTTACTAAGCTCAAGCAGAGATTTAAACACGACCAAAAAAGAGTGCAAGAGTGGGAAAATGCTTTGATTGAAGCAGCAAGTCTATCTGGGTGGGATTCAAAGAATTTCAGGTAGCTTTTGTTCTGCTCATGATGCTCTTATATTTTCTTTCTTAAATTTGGGCATTAAACATAAACATTATTGTAATTTATATTTATGCTAGGCCTGAATCCGAACTTGTCAAAAAGATTGTCAAAGATGTTTTGAGCAAATTGAAGCGCAAGTCATCCATTCACATGGAAGGCCTGGTTGGGATCAATCATCAGATTCAGAAAGTTGAAGAGTTAGTAAGTGAAGCTCGCACTGTGGGAATATGGGGCATGGGTGGTATTGGCAAGACCACTCTTGCTAGGGCCGTATTTGACAGATTGAAGCCAGAGTTTGAAGCTCTCTGCTTTGCTAAAGATGTGAAACAACAGCTGGCGGAAAGGAATGGATTGGATGAATTGCTAAAAAAAAGCCTTAAAGAATTATTAAAAGATGACGATATTAATGCTTACGATTTAAGATCCGCTTCTGTCAGGACAAGGCTTCAGCGTAAAAAAATTCTTCTCGTACTTGATGATGTGGACAATTTTATAACAGCTGAAGATTTAATCAAAGCATGTAATTGGTTTGGGGAAGGAAGTAGAATTATTATCACATCGAGAGATATGCAAGTGCTTAAAAATACTTCTGCTTCTGCATCTCCAGCAACATATCAAGTTCCGGAATTGGATCCCCATCATTCCCTTCATCTCTTTAGTTTGAATGCTTTCAAGCAAAATCAGCCATTCGAAAACTACTTGGAGCTATCAAAGCGGGTAGTTGATTATTGTAAAGGAAATCCTTTAGCTCTGAAAGTGTTGGGTGGCTATCTCCATGATAGAGGAAAAGAAGTGTGGGAAAGTGCTTTGACAAAACTAAATCAAACTCTTCATACTGATATTTTTAAAAGTGTTGAGGTTGAGTTTTGATGGACTTGATGACACTCAGAAGAACGTATTTCTTGATCTTGCATTTTTGGTGAGTGACGTAAGGTCAATTTCTGTGGATTGTGCAAGATGTTTATACGGTTCTCTGGCAGATATTGACATGAGTGAACTTAAAGACAGATCCCTCATCTTTGTTTCTGGATGTGGTAATATTCAGATGCATGCTCTACTAACGAATATGGGTCTTGAAATTTCAAAGCAACAATTAAAATCTGATCCTGAAAATCCCATTCGGCTGTCGGGGCATGAGAATATTTATCGTTATTTTTCCAACAATGACAAGGTAATAATTTGTTTTTTAGACTTCATCATATTTTTATTCTCTTAACATTTAATTTCGTTGTCATTTATTTTCCTAAAAGTTATTTGCTTATCCATTAAAATCTTTAGTAAGTCTCAATGTGTGCCGAATCAGACTTTTTTAATATATGAAAAGGTCCTTTCTTCGACTAAAATTGTTTGGGGAAATAGTCTTTCTATTAGGTATGATTCATTATATTAATCTTCTTAAACTTTTGAAATATTCGTTGTCTTGAAGTTTTGAGATCGAATATGACTAGCATGATATGAGGCTTTTTTTTTTTTTTAAAGTTACAGCATGAATGATCTTCAGTAAATTATAAAGTTATCCACAAAGGTTGACCTTTTTTATATTTCTCCTCTACTCGTTAATAATTGTTAAGTTGATTTTGGTTCTAAATATAAGACCTATTTATCATATTTATCAGTTTTTTCTAAATTACCTCTATTAATACTCCGCCAATCATAATCAATTAAAAGAGGGAAGAAGGATATTAAGGAAGATAATTACGGTGTTTTAAGGAAAAAAATATCATATTTCTTATAATTAACTAACTTACCTAATTTTCTTAATCCAATCAAATTAGTTAAATAGGTCTTATATTAAGGATCGGAGGAGTAATTGATAACTGATATAGCATAAAAGTGATTGGGGGTATACTTACACACTGCACATGCATACTCTCACCCTCACGCGTTTCGTAATAAAAATTTAATTTACTTATTATGAAATCTGAACAATTTTATATATGCGGGGGGTTTTATATACACTAGTTTTTCTTTAAGAAGTAGCAATTATATGAAGAGTTAATATAACTTTTGGAACTTCAAATTTGCATGAATTTTAATTTTAATTCCTCAAGTTTTAAATAATGAGTTTTGGTCTTTTAAGGAGCAAAATATTCCAAGTTTTTGTTAAATCACAAGAAGAAATATTTTAAATAGAAAGAAATTTGAGAGATTAAAACGTATGATTTAAAATTTAAGGGATTTAAAAATAAAATGAGAATAAACTTAAAAGACAAAAAATTATGTTAATCCTTATATGGAATATAAACGTGTGCATGTAAGCCTGTTGGTATGATTGTACCCGCCAGCCTGCGTGTGTATCTCCAATTTATTTATTGGAAGATAAAAATTGTTTGAATAAGTGCACAAAAACATATTCATTTAGAAATTTCTAAAACAAATATATTTAATTGTTCTATTTATTTTTTTTTTGTGGTTGCCTGAGATCATCTTTGACATATTACGTATTTTTTCCTACAATTTGATCAGTAGGCGGCTGCGGCCATTCAATGCTTATCCTTAGGCATGAGGAAGATAAAGAGGATTACATTAACAACTAGTAATTTTCAGAAGAATTATATTTTAAAAGTAGCTGGGACTTTTTTGACAAATGTTATTTTATAAGATAAAATTAGTCCACAGAGAATTTTTGTTAAGTGATATATGCACGTGTGAGCCGGCCTAACTAACTGTTATTTGAAGTACAATGTGAAAATGGGGGGGGGGGGAACACTTTTTGCCTTTGTAGTTATGCTATAAATATGTGCGTATGCATGTAGGTATATGCATCGGTGTGTCAGCATATTTATGATTTTTGAGAAATTCACATATTAAGAGAAAAACATGAATTGCAAGCAATTTTGAATAAAATGCGTATCATGGTGTTAATTTGGATACTTTTAAAAGTTGATATATTTGATTGTTCTATGGTATTTATGATCATTTTTTAAGGAAATGATAATCATGTGTTCCATTGATTTGATATTATTATTAGGGAATTGAGGCAATTCGATGCATGTCATTGGATGCAAGCAAGATAGAAAGCATTACATTAACGGCTAGTCATTTTCGAAAGATGCATTATTTAATGTCCCTTAAAGTTTACAAGTCAGATCGGGGAAAGCGTTCAAAGTTAAATATTTGTGAAGATTTGGATTATCTCTCAAAAGAATTAAGGTTTCTTAGTTGGGAAGGATATCCACTACCATCAGTGCCATTACAATTTTGTGCTAAGAATCTTATTAAGCTTAATTTGCCAAAGAGTAATATCCAGCAGCTTTGGAATGGATACCAGGTACGGATAGTTTTTCATACGTCATAAATTTTTTTGCTGTGATTCTAAGAAACATTAACTAAAATAATTCACAATGCAAATGTTTGCTCTATTACTATCATTGAATTGATGGTTGAGTAGTAATTGTACTATTTGCGAGAGAGTCCAACTGCTGTTGTAATTGGCATGAGAAAAATTCTTGAGTAAATTGTACGTATGAATAGTTATGTAATTTATTTAACACTACTGCTTTTTTTTTTTCCTTCCCCTAGCAATTTCCAAACCTGGAGGAAATAAGTCTATGGGATTCAAAAAATCTTAGGGCACTCCCGGATTTGTCTCAAGCCCCTAAGATTGAACGGATAATTCTTCGTGGTTGTGTGAATTTGGGTCAAATCCATTCTTCAACTGTCCCGGAAAAGGATATCAATTTATTTATAAAAGATTGTGGGCCAATGCAAATAAATGTTGGGGGCAGTATGCACGAGAGAAGTTCATCAAGGTTAGTGATTGTGCACAATTCTTTGGATCTTGCCGATTTGACATTCAATAAAGTGACAATGAAGGTGATGTTATACGGCAAGATGATATGTGGTGTTGGATTTAAGCATGTGAGAATGCCATTGAAAGAGATGGCAGAATTCATGAGAATGGGAATACAAAGTTTGGCGACTTTACTTCCATTTGTGAGGAGAGTTAAATGGTTAGAGAGTCCAATTGAGTTTGGGCATGATTTCAAGCAACATTATACCTATGATGTTAATCATTATTACAATGGAAATACATACTTTAGTATTGCTGTGTGGGTGAGGAGTGATGGAGAAGAAAGGGGGGTAGAAGATGATGAAGAAGAGGATGAGGATGAGAGAGAAATGATTAGTGAGAATGAAAGAGAAATGAACAGTAAAGGTGATCAAGTAGTAGAGACGGAATTATTATTAATGGAAGATGAACAAGAAGAGGATGATGATGAGAATGATAGTAAGAGTGCTACCACATTAATAATAACAACACTTATTCTCAACACCATCCCTTGCTGGTCATTATTGGTTCGAGTGACATTAAAAGAGAGTGATATTATTATTGGGAATAATGCAAGTTGCAGCAGCATCCCTCAAGTTTCAATTATCCTCAAATCACTTAATGAAGATTGCAGAAGGCGGATTCAGCCTCTCTTAGTAGTACAACTCTCTTCACCAATATCCCCTTTACGTCATCATTCTTTCGGAGTCTTTTATAACTACTTGGAGAGGATGCCACACGATCCTTGTTTTCTTTGTTTCCGCAGCAAATACTTGTCAAACAATCATTTCGATGATCATGATCTAGTTGTTTACTATGCGGAGCATTATTGATGACATTAATTATCATTTAAATTTTTCTGGCCATAAAATTATTATTTGAATCAGTCTCATTTATCTTTTCATCGCACATTCACATTATGTTATTATGATACATTAATTTTTTGTTTTTTTTCATATGTAATTCATGGAGGGCCTCCTTACAACTTTAGAACATAAAAATTGTCACTCTTATTTTGGCTTCACAATGACTGCGCTTGTTATGCATGTTACTCTCCCTGTGATGTAAATATAATATCTAGTGTGACAAACAATTTCCATACTAAGCTATTTTATTATAAGAAAGTAGAATGATTACTTATGAATTAATTAACTCAACTTGTAAATGTCAAAATGTTATAATATTTAAATTGTAAATTGTGAACTACCTTAAAATAAAATATATTTGTTTGACTGGCCACTGGTCAATCATTCCAAGTTGATCAACGTGGTTAATAGGCAACGTGGTCATTTATATTTTTTTTCCAAAATAAAAAAATCCAATTATACTTGGTTTTCTTGCCTGAGGTCTAGTAGTAATTTTCCCTTTACATTATGTGACATTAAAGATATATTTTTTTTAAGTGAGATCCATAAAGCGTTTCCTCACAACTTTGGAAAATACTCTTGAAATTATTAATCTTAATGTTGCTTTTCAATAATTGTTCTATTGCTCGTTACTTTCCGCATGTGTATGTTCCATAACTTATTTAATAATTGTTGATAAAATTTAGGGTCATCTAGAAGTTTGGGATCGCCATCAATATGAGTTTCCTGAATAAATTTGAATTCATAACTGTCATGTTGGAAACAAATATTGATCTACGTTGCTAAGCACAAGCAAACAGAACAAGTAAAAAGAATACTAAAATAATAATCAATAACAAAATGCCAAGCATTAAGAGTATGAAGACATAAATTCTATGATTGAAACACTTGATTGGCCCCCATCTCCTGAAACACTTGATTGGCTTCCTTTAAAACTATTACATAGTACATACCAAAATGACTTGCTTTTGTCTGCACGATTCAACATGGAGAAAAACATAAAGGTTCTGTTTTAACTCAATCAGCAATGAATTTGACTAACCTCTTCCTTAAAGTTATCCTTGGTCTCAAGAATCTGAAGTCAATGCTAGTGACGGTGCATGCAGAAATGAGAAAAAAAGTTGGTGGTTATTAAACATATTCTTGATGTCAGTATACATAGACCGAAAGGCACTCAAAAATTAGAAAAGAACCAAAAAAGCCTGAACGGGTCTGACTTTATGATTGTGAGAAAACTGTAAACTGAATCATGTTTCAAAAACAAAAAAGACAACATTGTCTTGCATTTCCAAATATACTAACAGCAGATGTTCTCAGCCTCATTTGCTTGATCATTCTACTGGCATCCCTCATATAAGTAGCAACTTGGTAGCTTATATCCTGTAACGTACATGTTAAAGGTAGCAGCATCAGTTGTCACTTGCATCATCCTCTGCCATTTGTTGATCGACCTATCTCTGAAAAGTGCCAGTCTGCAAAAAGCAATCATGAATAACATCAATTAGGTCATAGTGTCTATCTAATCAATTTTATGCACATGCACGCGGGTATAAGAAATTTAAAATGTCAAAAGGGTAGCTGGAACCCAAAATCTTAAGTTGCTAAGTGAAGACCAATAATCAGCTTTAGTAATATTTTCTAGCACGTCCCCTAACACAAAAGATGAAAACAGGAACAACAAAAAGGTTCGATCATGACCGAAGTCTAATATAGAGATCACTGTTGCTTAGAAGGATGACTAATGCATCATCAGGTTGCACCCTAACAATAATTTCTCACATACAAAATCATCAATGAGTGTGGTTTATTCTGTTTCTTGGCCATATCAAAGCACATAAATATGCGACAAAAAAAGAACTTTTTGCCAAAAAGATACATTTTCAAAGAACACCATAAAAGCACCAAAGCAAACAATCACCCCAATACCTTAAGAGCTCTCAAAGAAGAAAGAGATGTTGGTAAATAACGCTCCCTCTGTTTTATGTAAATAATCTCTACTTCTTTCTTTTGAAGTGATTTTTGTGTGCACAGTTTTTCTCTTTTGTCTTTCAGGGTGTTACATGGCAATACTAGTAGCTGGTTAGTTGCAATAGAAGAGTTATAACTCTATTCGTCAGTTAAAACAGAGCAAACATGAGAGAAACAATATAAGCATCTCACATGTTCTCATTCTATATAAGGTGTGGAATACGAAATTACTACAATTATATAAAAGCTATTTTAGGAGAATTTACGCATTGGTTGCGCATATTAAGAATCCTTTTTCACAAATAATTATCTGAACTAATTTTTTAATCTTTTAAAATTAATATTAGACATGTAGTTCTTATATTTAATACGGGACAGAGTAATAAGAAGGTTGGGTATTATAATAAACATTGGAAAGAGGTGGGATATTAGAGCCTCCAAAATATGTATTTGTATAGTCATCAAACAGTGCAGTGCGCATAAAGAACATAACGCTATATCTGCCACAATAGCAATAGCTTGGAAATTTCTTTGTAAAAGAAATAATAAAGAAATTAAAGCACCATAACCATTAAAACAACTTTAACACGCATACTTATACTCCCTATAACTAGTTTTAAAATAAATAACGTTGTTGTTGATTAAAAAAAAAAAAGCATGAAATAAATAAGTAAAGTTTAGTTGTCTCGCAACCTCGTGCCACTTTTGAAATATTTATAAAGAGAAAAAGAAAGGAAAAGAGAAAAGAAGACACACCCTCACCCTCCGAACAAGCAAATGGCCGAATGATAATACAATGAAGCAACAGGGCAATCCACAAAAGTCACAAAACGCGGCACGACTTGACTTCACTTGTTGCCTAGAAGGGCTGGGACCAATGTTTTTATTGGACTATGAGGACATTGTTGATGTTCTGATGTTGAGTTTTGATGGACTCGATGACAAACAGCAAAATCTTTTTCTTGACCTGGCATTCATAATCAATGCAAGAGTTTATAAGTCTTTTGATCTGATAAGACAATTACACGGCTCTTCTGTGCATATTGAGATGAGTGTTCTTAGAGAGAGATCACTCATTTCGGTGTCTCAAAAAGGCAAGATTGGGATGCACGATCTTGTGTTGGAAATGGGCTTTGAAATTGTTAGGTAGCAGTTATTCCTCAGTCCTAAAACCCCTATTCGACTATGAAGGCACGAGGACATTTATGATTTTTCAATTTGTTACAAAGTGATGATTTATTATGTTTATTATTATTTTATCTTTTTGTCTTTGTCATTTTAGTTGTTAGATTCCTAGTGATATTTGTTTCTCTTTATATTTTTACTCGTTAAGATCTTTGGCGATGGTAAGTGTCAGCATTTATCTCGAGGTACCTCTGTTTTATTTTCATCAATTAGATTATTCCTATAAGAAAATCTTTCTTGATTTAAATGACTAAAGTTGCATTAGAAATATTGTGATGTGTTATTTTAAAAGATAAAATTAGTGTTCATAGAATATTCATTAAGTGATAAACGAAATGATTCCCAAGATTGATTTTTCTCTTGCTAATTGGCCTAGTACGTGTAAGTGTGTAAATCCATACACATGGGAGTACAAGCTATTACCATAGCATATGAAAATTGAAAACGAAGAAAGTGTATCTATTAAAGGCTATAAAATGGTCTACATTCTTCCCGGCTCCATATCTTTTACTTCTCGTACTGATTTTTTAGTGCGTGAGATTAATTCTTAGGGATACTCGTTTTTTGTATTAACTGGTCTTCTCGTACTGTTTCCTTTGATTTGACGTTAATAGGGGATTGAGGCAATTCGATACATGTCATTGGACGTGAGCAAGATAAAAAAAAAAAGATTACACGGAGAGCTAATAATTTTTGAAAGATGTATAATTTTGGTATTTCTCAAAGTTTACAAGTCTGATCGGGAAAAGCCTTCAAAGTAGAATAATATTTGTGAGGACTTGAATTATCTTTTAGAAGAAATGAGGTTTTTCAGTTGGGAAGAATATCCACTACTATACGTCCCATTACATTTATGTGCCGAGAATCTTATTACAATTGAAATGCCATACAGTAATATCTAACAACTTTGTGATGGAAATAAGGTACGTACCATGTTTTACATGTCATAATTTTTTTCACGAGGTGATTCTAAGATCTCACCTCAAACATTGATCAAGTCATTTACAATGCAAATATTTGCTTCGCGCCTTTTAAATTGATGGATAAACAGTAGTTGAACTATTTTTTTTGGGGAAATCCAATTCATCTTGTAATTGGCATGTGAGAAATTCTTGATTAAATTATATGCACGTGTAGTTATCTAATTTATTTAACTTTGCTTTTTCTTCCTTTCCAGCATTTTCCAAATCTAAAAGAAATCTTTCTGTCGCATTCGAAAGACTTCATTGCACTCCCAGATCTCTGTCACATCCCTAACATAGAATTTATGTCTCTTCTTGGTTGTGTGAATTTGGCTCAGGTTCATTCTTCAACGATCCCAGAAAAGAATGTCCAATTATGAGCAGATGATGGTGGGCCAATGCAGATAAACACTGGGGGAACTATTAAAGGGACAAGCTCCGGATTATTGTTTGGGTACAATTATTTGGATCTTCGCAAGTTGTCATTTAATAAAGTGACAACAAAACTCTCGTACGTGGTAAGATCATATCTGGTGTTAGATTTAAACACGTGGTAATGCCATTGGCAAAGATAGCAAAATTGAGATTGGGAACACAAAGTTTGGCATCTTTACTTCTATTTATTAGGAAACTTCTTTGGTTAGAGAATCCAGTTGAGTTTGGGAATGATTTCAAGCAACACTACCTATGACCCTCATTATGCTTACTATCAATGTCGTGGTCCTGACCTTAGTCTTAATATGAAGGTGAGGGGTGATAGAGGAGAAAGGGATGTGGTGGGGCCATTGATGACAAGACAAATAATTACTGATGATGAAGAGTGGACGCCATTAACGGAACCTGAAGAAGAAGAAAGGTACAGTAAGAGTACAACATTATTAATGCAGAGATCAAGAAGAGGATTGGATGAGGTAATGGAAGAAAAGAGTGCAATATTATGAACCAGACTTCCCAACAGCATCACTTTTTGGTCATTTTTTACGCATCTGACATTTAACAAGACTGATATTATTGGGAACGCAGGTTGCAGCATTCCTCAAGTTTCAATCTTGAAAGCACTTTCATCACTCTGATGATTATTGCTAAAGGATTCAGCCTAACTTAGATGTAAAACTCTCTTTCAACATTCCATCATTGGCTTTACATGTGATCTATTGTTGTTCAAAGGTCAAATTTAATACTCTAGATTAGGTAGGAGATGAGTTAACTAGAGGTCAGTCTCAAGGAGCCTTAATGTCTTCTGGAATTTAACTAATTAGTAGTCACAAATTAAACTAATAGAGAAGGATGTAGCTTCTGAAATTAGTTTTTGTCACGAGTTGTTGTTTATGAAAACTGATTTTCAAAAGGAATGAGAGAAGAACAAGATGCAAAAAAGAGTTTGAAAGAGATATTAATGAAGTAAATTCCCTTGGATCTGTGATTTCACCTTCCTTGCAACTTAAAATCAGATTTCTATTTCTCTGAGGCAATTCATCAAACAGTAGGTCCGCAATACACTCTAAATGATGTAATTAGATAATTATCAGGATGAAGATTAACCAATTCACCTCAGATTCATCACAACAAATAAGTTCCAGATTTAACCAAATCAAAAACTGAATTGAAGCTATTCAGAAAAAGGAAATTATAACCTCTAAACACATCACAACTTAGAAATAGCAAAACCTAATGAAATCTCAGATGAGTTATATATCTGAATCCCAAACATAGATTTATAACAAGATCCAGATCTGGAAAAAAAACACAAACTCAAGAGAAAAACGAAATCTCCTTCACAAATCAGTGCTGTGGATCCTTCACAGCTCCTCAGGAATCAATGGCTTAGCTACTCATGTTGATGGAGGAAATCTGGCCACATCTCCTCTGAATCTTCATGGCACAATGCAAGAAAAGAGAAGAAGATGAATATGGAAGTTGAGAGAATCTGGAGAGGTGAAGAAAAGAAGAGAAAAGATGAGAATGATGGACTTCAGCGTTCAGATGCGTTTTCCTTCTCCTTCCCCACGTTTCTGGATTTCTACCCGGGTTTCAGTCATTCAAAAACACCATTTGGGGTGTGTTTGGCAAGCACCCCAAACCATAGTTTTGGGACCCAAACCATGGTTTGGGAAAAATGTTAGCCAAACACCCTTAAAAAAATCAAAACCATGGTTTGGGTTCAAAACCATGGTTTTGACTCCAAAACCATGGTTTTGGGAAAAGCAGAAATTTTTTACTTTTGGAAAAAAAAGGGAGAGTGTGAGAGCTTATAAGATATGTATCTTGTTGTTTTTTTTATAAACATATTTTTTATAAACATATTTAATCTTATATCTTATAAATATATATACATATTAATTATTTATTAATTATATTATCTTATATATTATTAATATATGTTAATAAAAAATATATTGTTAACAATTTCTTTCCTTCAAATTAAAATATATCATAAAATATATTTTTTCTATAATTATCATATTAATTTATGCCAATTTGTATATATAAAAAGTACTTCTAATAACAACTATCCAAACACTCACACTTCTCAAAATCACTTTTTCACAAAATCTATTCTTCCCAAAATCTATTTTTTTCAGAATCTATTCTCTAGAAGCTATTCTCCAAACCATGGTTTGATTTCATCCAAACACACCCTTGAAAGTCTTCCACTGCTGCGTTTTAGTTTCTCTACTGATTACCTTGAGCTATGCGTTTTGACAAGCAGAATTTCTCCCTCCTTATGTGCCAAAACTATGCGTTTCATTAAACTAAGTTTCCCTCTCCAAAGCTGTGCGTTTTGGTTCACTCCTTCAGCCCCTCAAAACAGTGTGTTTTGATTCATTTTTTCAGCCCTTCAACCACTGCATTTTTGCTCATTTAAATCAGAATCCACAAGAGCTTTGCAGCATTTCTTCAATTTTGACTTGACCCTCATTGCTATTTCCAGGAATTGATGAGAAATCCTTCAAATATGTATTAATTTATCAAATTCTCAGAGTATCATTTCTTATCAAATATTGAAAATTTGAAGTTAATTCCACATAAGAACATTTAAATCCAATGAAAAATCACATTATTTAACTGATCGAAATGTGGTTCATCAATGTGATTTTGCTCTCTATATCCGTTATAACTTGGACGTGAAGCGACAACGTTCCTATATTGGTACTCTTTGGTTCAACTGTTATGTTGATAATTATAAGCCTCTTTATCCTTATTATTGGTTGTCAAGTATGAAGACTGGTCCTAATCTCAATTAGACTCATTTATTTTTGGTGAATACATTAACATAATGTTTTATGAAATACTCCTCCGGTCCTTAATATAAGACCCATTTAACTAATTTGATTAGATTAAGGAAGTTAGGTAAGTTAGGTAATTATAAGAAATGTGACACGTTTTTCCTAAAACACCAAAATCATCTTTCTTAATATCCCCTCTCCTTCTTCTACTTGATTATGGTTGATGGAGTATCCATAGGGGTAATTTGGAGAAAATTGATAAATATGAGAAATGGGTCTTATATTTAGGACCAAAACCAACTCAATAATTAGGTCATATATTAAGGACCGGAAGAGTATTAATTTTCCCTTTTTTTTTATTTGTAGTTTATGGAGGGCCTGTTCACAACTTTATACTGTGGGTGATACAGAAATACGTGGGGGCCCTAGCTCTACAAGGGTTAAGTTGTTCTCTGATTTTGTGGGAGCCATTGAAAGAAAACACTCAAATATTATAAACTGTATTACAATTATAGGCCACCACCTTAGCAATGGGCTAATTGACCCGAAATGTGTATAAGGAAAAAAATTGTAAACGGCAAATGCCCCAAATATGATACAGAGGTGCGTGGGGCCCCCGTAGTGTAATTTTTTATTTTCCCCAAAAATAAAATAAAGCACCGCGGCGACGCGCAACAGTGACAAACGCGGGATGACTTGACTTTTTGACCGCAATGGCATGCATGATATAAGAGGAGGGACTGGGTCTCAAAAAAGTCAAATCCATTTTCATCAAAAGCCTCTCATGTTTATATATTCTTCATTTTTTTTATTAAATTAAGGTGTTTAAGTATCTGAAAATATCCACAAAGGAACATCCAATATTGATAAATTTTTTCTGGCTTTTATATATTCTAAAAGTTTATTTTAGTAGCAAATATACCTTAGATGTTATTCACCGATAAATTTGACGGATAAATTATATGGTTTAACTCACATTTTTACTGGTTAAACTTAACTGTAGATGACAATTTTAAGTAAAAATGCTATCAAATAAAACTTTTCAGGTGTATTAAAGCAAAACAAAACTTCTAGATGCTTGATACTTTTTGGTGATATTTAAGGGTATTTAAAAACCTTAATCTTTTTTAATTCTCCTATATAAAAAAACTTCTTATTTTTTATTTCCTATTCTTAAGGATGGTCACAAACGCGGGACGACTTGACTTGTTGACTGCAATGCAATGGCACGCAGTTACACATGACAAAAGAGGGTCTGTCTGGAGTTCCAAAGAGTAAAATCCATTTTCATCAAAAGCCTTTCATGTTTACATATTCATATCATTTGTTTTTTCCCTCAATTCTTTTTATGCTTGGCGTAAAAAATAAAATCTTTTTATGCTTAAATCTTCTTTATTTTTTATTCACCTATATAAAAAATCTTTTCTTTATTTCCTATTTATTTTATACTTTTTTTTAATTTTATGCCATTTGCTTTTTCTCGATATGTTATCTCCTCCTTGGCCTTTAAATGCATTTTTCAATCTGCAGAGGGTAATGGAATTAATACAGAAAAATTGAGAAACGAAATAAAAGAAAGTATATATAATAAATTCAAAACTGAGAAAAAAAATATCAGCAGAAAGATTTCCTTTATTGAATTTGAGGAAGAAACCTGTGAATTGCCTTTCGAGTATTACACTTTTAAAAAACGACATCATTGTTTGTTGATTTTTATGGTAAATTATTCTACTCCCTCTCTCTAATTCTAATTATAAAAACTAATAGATTGGTTTATATTAGTTTTTTTTGGAAATAGGTTTATATTAGTTTTAAATATAACATATCAATAATTTATCATGTCTTCTAAATTTATAATTTTTTTCTTAAACTCTTTTTATTCATGTTATATATTAAGAGTATTTTCCATTTAAAAAGTAATATCCAATGAAATTAATTGATAAAGAGGTATTGAAGAGAAATTAACATACTACTTTTTTTAATAAATAACTAATTTAACTATTTTTTAATATTTATAAATCAATTATTTAGTTTTTATATTTAAAATTGAAGGAAGTAATTTGTACCAAGCGGCAGGTCTTGGAGCCCTACTCAATACTAGGCGTGTCATCTTACTCATGCTAATTTTTTAGCCAAATCCCCTCATAATTTAGAGAGAAAATGTTGTACAATATAAAATCATTTAAAATATCCGTTATTATTCACAAAACTTTTACGAACTGTGGGACGCTGAAAGAGAAATTTTTTCGACAGCCGTCCAAGACGAAGCGGCATATTATAATGCAACAAGGCAGCACCGTCCACAAGCGACCTTCCAAGAAACAGGAATAAGAGACTGAAACAAAGAGATAAATATTAATACGTGAAAAAGAGGCACTTGTTGATCTCTGAATCTGAAGAAACTCGTTTGAGGAGAAAGCAAAATTCTGCAAATTCTGAAGCTGCCATTTTTGAGGCCTTTGCTTGAGACCTATTTCTTTCTTCCGCTTCCCTCCGCATATCCAGGTCAATCTCTTCTCTTTTACTTGTTTCATGCCATGTCAATCGCTCCATCTACTGTTTTGCAAGCCTTTTTTCTGGAATTTTCACAGAAAAATTCTGCATAAGATTTGCTGTTTTGTTCTTCTTG